CAAAGTTTCCCGCCGGACACAGGTATACCGCGCGCATTGTATTCTATTTGACTCACGCATACGCAAACAAATGTCACTGGTGTTTGCCCATCCAACAGCAGGGACATTTGTCTGAGCATGCGTGAGTCAAATAGAATACATAACGCGCGGTATACCTGTGCCTGGCGGGAAACTTTGAAGATGTAAGAAAACTTGGCGAAGGCCAACGAAAAATTCAATAAAAGTAGGAAATCTTCATAAAATGAATTCAAACTCACTCAATATATTGTTCTTAATTTATTACACATCTATGCGAAGTTTCAGCTCTCTTCAGTCCAAAAAACTGCTTTTTTTCTTGATGTTGGTCCCCTAGATAATATTATTTATTATCTAGGGGACCAACACCAAGAAAATCATAAAAAAGTACTTACCTCCAAGATGGCTTGTTAGTGACAATAGTGATAGTAATGACATTCACTTTTTCCTCAATTTATTCAACCAATCAAATTTGGTTGCTATGTGAAGTTATTTTATTTTTCCTCGAATCATGATAAACCAATCAAATCATTGTTGCCGTACAAAGCGTTACCGGTCATCTCGCCCCATTGCCATCTCGCCCCCACTATTCCATCTCAACCAATCAAATTATTTTTGCTGTGCAAAGTTTTTTCCCCCTCAAATTATTCAACCAATCAAATGATTGTTACCGTGCAGTGTAAATTTTTCCCTTAAAGTAATATGGACCAATCAAATATTTTTACCATGCAAAGTTATTTTCCCCTCAAATCATTTGACCAATCAAATTATTGTTAAGGTGCAAAATATTTTTTTCTAATAAAATGTTGTAAAATCTGTATGTAGAAAATATCAATGCCATGCATCCCACTTTCCCATAGAAGAATAGTAGTTCATTATTTTCTGGAACAACACCCTTTCCTAAATTTATATTTGAACAATTAATCGTATGAGGAAGTAGCTGATCCCATTAAAGAGTGCTCAATACACATAAAGTGTAGAGCTAGTTACAGCAAAATCTTGCCTCTTTGATATCATATATATTTGAACAATTATTATGCTTTACATCTTTTTTTTTTTGTTTACTTTGTTTTGTTTGTTTATTAATTGTTGGGAAATTTTTAGAGCTCCAAGTACAAACACAATAGTTTCAGTCAAGTTTATGAAAGCCAAAAAAACCTAAACGAAATACAAAACAACTAGTATCCTTCGCGTTTTGACACCGGAAACGGATACTAATAAACAACGAGCCGTTTGAAGTTTGTGGGCTTCCTGTTTATTTGTTAACACAGGAATTTTTTTCATTTATCAAAGCAAAGCAAAGAATAATTTATTGACTAGACAACTAGATTTCTGTAATAGTACTTGTAATGCACCTGATGCGATGCAGGCTATATTTGAGTTGAGTTATAAAAGCTTATTTAACGGACATTTTGAGACATTTTGAGCAGGTTTTGTTGTGTCCAAAAGTTCGATAATACAAAACTATCACCATTTCTTCCACTAAATGTTGTTTATTGTAGATCATTGTAGCTCATTTTAGGTCATTTTAGATCATTTTAGGTCATTTTAGGTCATTTTAGATCATTTTAGGTCATTTTAGATCATTTTAGGTCATTCCTTCTTTTAGGCTGTGTTCATAATGTATACCATTTTTTGGGGGGATGACAAATGTTTACTGTATTCAAGAGGGGGGTTGCTAAAAATATTAATTAGAATCTTAATTATATCCATTTTGAAATCAAGTGAATCCTGCAATCTGATTGGTTCTTAGCAGGTTGATTTCAGCCTAAATTGCACCATTCTGAACTCGTAATCACATTCCTTTGAAGCAAATATTGTATTTATACTAATTAATAAAATTTTATGCTGTACAATGTGTTAGATTTCAAAATGGATATAATTTTAGTGGTAATTCGTGTCGTGCAATTTTGGTTTGAAATCAAACTTGTGATTACAAATTGCACTAATGCTACGCAGTCGTGCGATTTTGAATCACGCGTTTGATTTCAAACCAAATTGCACTCCACTCAGTTCAATTCCCATTATTAATTACAAATGGAAAAAANTTTTTTTTTTTTGTTTACTTTGTTTTGTTTATTTATTAATTGTTGGGAAATTTTGAGAGCTCCAAGTACAAACACAATAGTTTCAGCCAAGTTTATGAAAGCCAAAAAAGCTAAACGAAATACAAAACAACTAGTCTCCTTCGCGTTTTGACACCGGAAACGGATGCAAACGAGACTAATAAACGAGCCGTTTTAAGTTTGTGGGCTTCCTGTTTATTTGTTAACACAGGAACAATTTTTTTCATTTATCAAAGCAAAGCAAAGAATAATTTATTGATTAGACAACTAGATTTCTGTAATGCACCTGATGCGATGCAGGCTATATTTGAGTTGGGTATTCAAAGTTATAAAAGCTTATTTAACGGACATTTTGAGCAGGTTTTGTTGTGTCCAAAAGTTCGATAATACAAAACTATCATCATTTCTTCCACTAAATGTTGTTTATTGTAGCTCATTGTAGCTCATTTTAGGTCATTTTAGGTCATTTTAGGTCATTTTAGATCATTTTAGGTCATTTTAGATCATTTTAGGTCATTCCTTCTTTTAGGCTGTGTTCATAATGTATACCACAGAGGGGGCAGGTGAAATTTGGGGGGATCGTAGATAGATAGATAGATAGATAAACCTTTATTAACTTATACCGCTCAGGGTAGCCCCATCAGCATGCAGATGCAAAAAGCAATCTGTTATCAATGGGAGCCCTGAGCATAACAATATAAACTACAATATAATATATATATGCATTGTACATTATAAGTATCACTAGAAATATGAAGATAGATAGATAGAAAATATTAATGGTAAAAAGATATAAAATTTTGCATAAATACTAAATTCTATTTGGATAATTCATTAAAAAGAGTGCAACCATAGTAGTAAAAAGATCTTTTTGCGATCTCGGTCCTCACAGCAGGTGGATGTAAAAAATTGCTTTGTCTAGTAGCACGCGCATGGATTGCACTATTACGCTTAAAATACTCTTTAAAGTATTGGGGACAGTAATCCAACAGAGATCACTTCAGGAGTAGAAGTAACGCCTTGAAACTCAACAGCTTGGGTGCGGTCTGGCAGATAATCCGTAAACCAATCAAGCTCTTTATTCAAAATCCCCAAATTGGAAAGCTTGTCCAGAAGTACAGCATGGTCCACCGTATCAAAAGCTTTGCGAAGGTCAATAAATACAGCGCCAGTTAATTGACCTTGGTCCATATTTCTGCGAATATTATCAGAAAAACTAAGAGCAGCAAATTCTGTAGAGTGACACTTCCGAAACCCACATTGAAAAGGACTCAGGATCTTATTCTGCTGAAGATAATTATGTAGTTGGAAATGTACAGCCCGCTCTAAAACCTTGGATAGAACAGGTAGAATTGAGATCGGGCGATAATTATCCATCTTGTCGACTTTTCCCTTTTTAAAAAGTGGAATGACCCGCGCGGATTTCCAGTCACTGGGAACTTGAGCAGTACGAAGCGAGGTATTGATAATGAACGTCAAGGGCTTAGCTACAAAATCGGCAGAAACTTTTAACAAGCGGGCCGGTATTTGATCCAAGCCTTCAGCCTTCCCAGAATTNTTGAACATGTTGAAGACAAAAAGAAAGCGAAAAAGACTTTGCATAGCATTACAAAATATTTTCTGAAATTCTTTATTTAAAATTACATGCCGTTCTGGGCGTACTTTTATCGCTTTGTACATCTGATCGCAGTTCATTGCCTCGTTCTTAAAAGACAGGGAAACCGGTATTCAATTTCTGACTCCGTAGCCAACCTCGTTCCCAGGGCTACTCTGATCGCTTTTTTTCAAAATGGCGGACAGAGATAGCCCTGTCATCGCCCGGTCACGTGACACCCACTCTCAATGGCTGTTTAGTGTGGATTACCGCTGAATGCAGGCGCCATTTGGTTTTCGAAAATAATGTTCGGAGGAACTTCGAACTTTTTTCAACTTTTCAAAAAATTCTGAAAAGCTAATTTTCACACGTTTTTAATGCATTCTCGAAACTCCCGCCAATTTCATTAGAGTCCGATCCGTTTTTGAATGCACATTCAGAAAAAACTAGTACATCGAAGAAGTGATCAAAGAAGAAGAAAAACATAATCATTTTTTAGGGTTTGTCATGTCCATTTTAGCGACTGTGGGCTGGCCCTAAAAGAAACAGTCTTGACTACCTTTTCACTTCAATATTGACGACAAGGAAAAGCTGATGTTTCAGGAAGCTAGATCAAGTAGAAAAAAACAAYGGATTTGTGAACTCTTTTATGGATGTTCGTCGAAACCAATGCAAAAGCAGCTGTATAAAAAAAGCAAGAGATATCAAATTAAATCTTCGAGATGACTGAAAACAGGAATTTAAAAATCRATTAGGCTGCTGAAGACGGTGGCGAAAGGTTCGAATTTATAAGGTAACTTAACTWAAAAGAAAATGTCGATGTTTGTTGAAGAAGTTCAAACATGTCAATGGATGTCCTTTTAGTCCTTTTTCATGACTTCTCTCGCTGATATATCTACAAATTTATCTAGAAAGTTTGAATACGCCAATTCTCTATTCCGAAATTCAAAAGGAGACTGGGAACGAGTGTGAAAATAATATAAAAATTACGGAAGACCTAATAGYGGAGCTCCCAAAAGATRTGCATGTTGGATAAAGATGGGATGCAAGWCAAAGTGGTAAGACTACACATGTTTTGTTAAGACTAATTTATTTTTKYTAACAAAAAAAACTTTCATGGTACCTTTTTAYGTATTAAGTAGAGCAAGTTTTCCCTGCGAGAGCGGCTGACGTCCTATTGGTTGCTTTCGATTGTACACTCTACCGCCTCATCTCTMAATTGTTGAGCAATGTCCCCCGTAGATTCAAAATGTTTATTGCCTTTTGTTAGAAATCAGCCAATCCAATTTGACAATACTCTCTTCTTTTGGGACCCCTGTGCCTCCGGACCAAATTAGTTATAGTCAGCATTACTTTAGTCCGAATATTAGAATAAAAATAAAAATAATAATAACTTCCCGCAAAGCAATCCATTGACGAAGAGCTTCAAAAGAATCCTTGGACATTCATGTTTATTGTGGAGCAGTTAAATGTGGAGTATAGAATGGATTTTGAGAAATGAAATCGAGGTGCAAGTAGAGTTACTGTTGGAAATCAATGCGTCCAGTCTCCAACCTTGTATTAAGTAGGTTAAACAATGGCATATCGAAAATGGCGTAAAACCTCTTAAAAACGAAAGATTTTCAACCAGGAAGGTAAGAGACGTTTTATTTATGTTAGAATAATATTATTTAGCCAAAAAAAATAATGTGCGAACGACACATTTTATACTAAGTTATTGAGCCTGGGTTACCTGTGTTCTAATTTGCTATGTTCYCCCACATAGAATTGCCTTAATATTGTAGCTGAAGAAAGYTTTCGTGAAGTCAGAATCAGATATTAAATAAAATATTAGAAAATGAGCTAACTTGTGAAACTATTATAGCAGATTTTCTTGTTTAAACCAATGGGATGGATGGATTATACAATACACAATTAGCACCTTCTTGAATTTCTTTGCCGTTTGCTTCCCTAGTTCTTACTCGGGCCATTACTTAACATTCTTACCGAACGTAGAACTTTAGTGTATCGAGTTTTGATGTACATCATTTATCAATGATAGCTCATCGACATTTTATGGTATGCAGCACCCTGATCCCCTCTGGCAACCATAATCCTTAGAGCTAAAACAATAGAGAATGTTTTGGTGTGACGTAATTATGCGATAGGGCAATTTCTCATAGATACRTTCTCCAAACTAATCCGTCATGAAAATTTCCCGCCAAAATTTCATTTTATCCTGGATCCGCCCCTGATAGTAAAAGCATAACGACAAATGCACTTGATTTCAATGTTATCATGATTAACCCTTATAAGCTGATTATATGATTATCATTACAGTAGGCAATGTGCAGCGACGTTTTTTGTACAACAAAGCATGACGGGAGTTGTACTCCTCGTACGTTTTATAACACCTAACATATATCCTAAAAGCTGTTTTATGTTGTTGTTTTTTTATTAGAAACGTCTACTTCTATATTTTTGTAAAGAAAACTAAGTAAAAACAGCTTTAAAAAAGGAYTGTTATAGAGGATATAAAAAAGTGAGAGGAATATGACTCCTATCAAGCTTTGTTTCACAAATTGAATAGTGTCTATTGCAGAAGCTCCCTCAAAAAATGAAAATAATAAAAAATTGCCACAATTGTTTCGGTAACATGGAAAGTCTCGTTACTTGTCACTAAGTTTCTTTTCATAATTTCTTTGGAGTTCAAAACAGGTAAAATGTGGTCCACTACATAAAACAGCAACGCATAAGTTAGGCAATCAAAAATTGGTCAGCCTGGGCTTCAACACATGCGCGGTACCCTTCTCTGTGGTATGCTGTGAACATAGCTGGTGTAAACATTTGATTGGCAGTGGAATGGTGTGGGAATCTGCCAAACCTGCATAAGAAGTTGCATGGGCTCCAATGGCAGCACTCAAAGCAACAGCCTGTTAAGCGATCTACCTCGTGTGCGTTAACTGCTGGACCTCGATCCCATGCACCTTCATCGAGATTTAACTTGACGTCATCGCTGAAATCATTCCATGCTGAYTCTTCCAGATCGTTTGTCCCTTTACTTGGATGTCTTGGCGATATCAGCATAACTTCACCCTCCCCGACTTTGAGATCCGACAAGCCATTCTTGGCATAATAATGTACAACAAATCGATAACATCTCGGTTGTTTTCCTTCAGGTTGCTCCACGAATTTCTCACGTATATCTTCAAGGACATCCCGACCATCAAGTCCAGTGAACGAGCAACGGAGTTTCTCACGTGCCTGCTGTAAAGCAAAGAGAAGGTCTGTGGCGTAGTGAGTTCCAGGTTCCAAGTAGCTTCCATTGACCACTACTATCCGTGGAAGTCGGAGTTTGAAGAGAGGTAGCAGTGCCAGGTTCTCGATATGGCCACCGTCGCTTAGTTCCATAACAGGAGGAGGAACGGGTCCTATATTGGTAATGCCCAGAAGCTTTCGCAAGAGTCGAACGTGGTAGATGTTAATTATACACCACCTGCATCAAATAAAGATGTTCTTAACATTGGCGTGCTTCATTTAGAAAGACAACAACTCATTGTCTGATATATAAGGATTCATACGATTGAATAATCAATCATATGAAGGCTTCCGGTACATAAGGAAGGAAAAAGACTAAAGGTTGAAACTGCGTAGTTCCACTTGAATATATATATAGTGACATACTTAACAAATAATGGGTAATTCGCAGAATCATCCAATAACACTTCTGSTATTTATATATGTGCTAGGTACAAACCTTATAAATTTTCTCAAACATCCCGGATTTGCAGCCCCTGTTGGTATGACAGCAACCAATGTCAATATGCCCAGAATGCAAAGAAACATGATTATTGCGATTTTGTCAAAGTATATAGGTGCTCCGTAATAGCGTGCAACAGGGATCCCAAGAAGAGGAATTGCCATTAGAAGTTGAACTATCATTGGCAGTGCCTTAAAAGAGTAAATGATTCAATTACATACATAAAATCACATGCATTATTATCCTCAATTTGATTGGTTAACTACGATTTATGTGTTTCAGTGATCCTCTGACGTACCCTCACTACACATGGTAGTTGACTGCTGAGGCCAGGTTGTGCCACGAGACTCTTACCCATACCAATACCTAGTACGATTTGCAGATCACGAACCGCTTGGAGGCCCTCGCTGCGTCTGCCAAAATCATACGATACGGCGGCAGCCGAKGTTGCCATAGCAGTATGCAGTTTGACGTCACTTGGTTGAATAAATCCTTCATTGTCGAACTGCTTCTCATCTTGGCTTCGATCGATACGTTCAATTATGGAAGGAGACAGCACCAGAAGCTCGTAATTTTTCTCTCCTTGTTCGTTTGTTTTTCTCCAATGATTGACTGCCACGTTACACATATATTCCGGTTTTAGGTGGGCTAGATCACCAAGAGTCAGAGGTCTGTTTATATCTTCCTGTTTTGATTGGCAGCAACTTGTTGACCAAGGAACGAAGTCAGCACAATTCACCTTTGCTGATTTACGACTTTCAGGAGAAAAAAAGGTCTTCTGGAGCATTAAGCTGAAAGATGATAAAGATGCATTAATGCATTTAAGCAAGACTTTTCAACTTTGACCGGATTTCGTACACAACTCCGCATTCTTGGTACGGATCACGAAGACGACACGGGCTTCGCCTGGTAGTGATTCCAAATAAAAATGGTGATTCACGAATACATCGCCACTACGACTTTGCACGATCTCGGCACGAAAAAAGCTGTGCTTTTGCACAGTTATACTGACGAAAYCCGGTGTCTTTCGGAATCATAATAATTAAAAAAGATGGTTTTCAGTCCTGATTCGAGGGCTCTGGAGAGTTGCTCCGTATTCACGTGAAGAGTTACGAAGCCTAATAAATCCTCGATATTAGAGAAAAACTGTTTTAACTATATTTCCTATTTTTATAAGGTTATAGATAAATCTGATTCAAATATTCTTTTGGTTATAGGTCKATATTTCAAGTTTGAGATTTTTGGTACATTTTCATTTTGAAGCATATAGTGAAGTAAGTAAGCAATAAACAACACATTTTCGTCCGTTCCTGGTAAAATAAACCCCGCGGCCGGGTTGTTGGGAGAACACGAAAAAGGYGTAAACAGYCCCGAGCCGGAGGCGAGAGATTTTCAGCCTTTTGAGTGTTTTCCCAATATCCTAAGTGGTTTATTTCACCATGAATGCATGAAAATGCGTTGTTTATTGCTTTTATAATATAGCATTTTCGCAGCCGTGCGTTTACCGGTGAAATTAACAATGGCATTTGACCAATCAGAGAGCGTGTACTATGATAGCTATATAATTTAATTTAATTTAATTTAATTTAATTTAATTTAATTTAATTTAATTTAATTTAATTTAATTTAATTTAATTTAATTTAATTTAATTTAATTTAATTTAATTTAATTTAATTTAATTTAATTTAATTTAATTTAATTTAATTTAATTTAATTTAATTTAATTTAATTTAATTTAATTTAATTTATCTTTTATTTATCTTTTATTTTATTTTATTTTTTATTTTATTTTATTTTATCTTATTTCATTTCATTTTGTTTTCCCTTATCGTTTTTTTTCGTAAAGACTTCGAGACCTTTCGCAAACAGTCGCAACGCTCGATGTTTTTCCGATGATTGACCGATGATAAGTCGCTCGTCGTCGTCGCTTCGTCGCTGCCATGAAACTTGGTTGATCTTTCACAGATTTTGCTGTTTTTCTTGTATTTTTGTTGGAAAGTTCCATGTCAGGAAATTGAAGGCTTCGTGAAAAAGTTGGGACAGTTCACTGTGAGGAAAAATACATTTTATTCAAGACACTTTAGTCACCTTGAAAACCGAAGCAGATAGACATTTCCTTTTTTAAAGAAAGTTAACTTATTCTTAACTTTTATTTACGCCTCGAGAAACACACGACTGTTTTCCGAAAGGTCTCGAAGTCTATACGGAAAAAACCGATAGGGAGGGATAGACAAGCATGCTGGTGCACACATCGGTCCACGGCGAGTTAAATGCTTAATGTTCATTTTCTCGTAACGTAATGTGCATTTCACACTGAAAATCATGAGGAAGGTAGGAAACCTGACGATGTGTTGTTATTTGAAAAAAAAAATCGTCGTGTTCTGTTGTTTTTCGGTGAAAAAGAACCAAAATTATATTGGAAGAGTGGAATTGTAACGATTTTAGTGTTGACTCTCGTATTGACAAATATTTTTTGTGTTATTTGATAAATGTTTGTAGTTAAATATTACTCACGCATTTTGTAAATGTACTGCATTTTGCTGAAGTGATCCAAGGAAGGGATGCAACCACAACAGCATACCCGAAATCCATAGCATAACCCAAAACCGTTCTTGGGTATATACAATTCCAAGTATTGCTGTCTTGTAGACTCGCCATTTGACGGTGTAGGCAAAGAAAAAGATAACCAGTATCCACGATGCTTTGCTGCGCAGTGGTGGAAAGCCCAGCCAAACTACGACACTAAGGACGATGATCAAAGCATTTACCCATAAAGGCGTCACAACGATGTATTCCTCAATCAACCATGGAAGAAATACCATGCAGAATACAAAAACCATAACGCTAGAGGAGATATTGAAAACATTGAACAGAGATCTTCGCTTGAAGATTGTCTTGAGAAAGAACATCGATATCGTGATAGCCAGTAAAATAGCAAAGAGTGAAATCGTGTCGTACATCAGAACCCCAAACACGGGCACACATTCAACAGTTTTACTTGAACTGATGTTCAAGGATTGGACGATTTGGGGGTTCTCTTTGATCTGTGACTCTGTAAAGTTGTGATCATTTCCCTTTGGGCACACGAATGATGCGCGTAGCTTGTCACCAAAGAAATAATCGAATGCATAAGCATTTGGGATGGCATACATAAAAACACTGGCACAAGGCACGATCAGCGAGACAAAGAGTGCGAGCAAGATGATTCGTAGAGCATGGAAACAACCCGTGCAAGGGTTTCTGCAATCACATATGGGGTTGCTGTGCTGGCGTAAATGTTCAAAGTACTCTTTATGCCAAAAAGGATCATCTTTACACTCATTACGGAACTTCCAGTCAAGATAGGATGCTCCTATGTATCCCCCACCGGAAACACAGCTAAGGTAGTCAATGGGAGTCGATGTTTGGAGCAATCTTCGTAAGACACCAGARCACAGCGCTGCTGATCGAATGCCACCACCTGAGAATGCTACCCCGACCTTTCTGTCTGGCTGCTTAGACATCTTTATCCTGCTAAAGAAATCGGGATTATAAATGTTACATTCAATCTATTTTCAACCAGTAGTTCTACTGTTTCTTTTCAAATAATGGTTTTTAGGGACTAATTTACTAATTTTATAGMAATTTGCGATGTTTATATCTCCCATCAGCTTTGTTTCACAAAGAATTGACRCACTTAGTTAATGAAACAAATATCACTAATTACTAATGAATAGTGCTGRTTAGACAAAGAAACAAAGTAATTAGCATAATTTGTACTATATTTTTTAATATATAAGCTTAAAGGACTAAGTGCGTCCGCTCTATCATTCTAAAATGATTTGATCATTTGATCATTTTATCTTTAGAAAACTGGTTTTAGTGATATTGTTGTCTGTCTGGAGTTTTAAATATGTGCATACCTTTTCCGAAATAATATGTACTCTATGTGTTTTTCTATTTCCAGATTGCTTTTAACGAGGTCCTTGATGTTATCTTTATAGTGGTTGGGTGAACCTAATGGTATTTTAGTCATTTGGAAATAACCGCGCACTTTAAAGGTTGTATATTTGATGTAAGTGCCCAAACTGATGTAAACTCGATGTAAACGATTTACATCAAATATTTACATTATTTTGGACACATCATATTTACATCAAATTTACAACCTTTAATGTGCACGACTTTTTGCAGTGTTTGGGTCGATGAAGACTTGTGACCATGCTCCACTTAGGTCTTATCTTTGATGATGATGATGCTATATTTTCTAAATTAGGTATATTGATATTTTAATCTCCTGATGAAGCCCTTTTCATATACCTTGTTTCTTTATCTTAGATTCCCGTTTTAGTTGAATAGGTCGTTTGAAATAATCACCTTCAACTTCGATATAGTTTGATTGGCATTTAGCGGACAGAYCCTGACTTGCTGGTAATGGCAACCCCAATTATCCTATAGAACATCTGTTTGATTGAACGAAAGCTTGTCAAACGTGTCTTTAAAAATTATATGCTACATCATAAAAACTATAACAGATTAATGCAGTTACCACAGTTGTCCGTATAAGAGACCTGAATCTCTAAAAACTTAAAATCCTWGACACCTTTTTAGCAGCACGTATATTTCAGAATTGAAGTAAGAAGATTTCATGCTATATGTTAAACTGTTTTCGTTTTTAAAATCACCTCTTTCGACACACTACACCAAGACTTTGAATGAAACATGTTTCGTCTATTAGACCTTTTCAATCATTGTTACGTAAGAAGTAAGAAGAATCTACACTTAACTTTGAAAAAGGAAACGAAAAGATAATAAAATAAAATAAAATAAATAACTATAGGAGAGAAGAATATGACTAACTGTACAGTAGACAGATGCGATAAAGCAGAAAAGCATTAGACAGATTCGTCTAATCATCTTCATAGTTGAGCATGCTACATGTAACTATGCGTTCTAACTGSGGGTATTTAGGTAACACATTTTTCTATAATGTCTTTTCCTATGCAAAAATCACATYCATAAAATATTTGTCAATATTACTCGAAGTCGAACTGATGAATTTGTTTTCAACTATTCCAAAACGTTGTGCAATAGTTTAAAGTTAATGATGATGTCTACCGCTTTTCTGGCAAAAACGAATTTCGACAAAATCCGATTTCCGTTGCCTAGGTAACGTTAATGGAGCTAAATATTATGCCAAAGAAARCTTTGATCAATGCTTTATTACTGGACCAAACATCAAATAAATCAGTGCATTTTCAAAAAGTGAATTTACAAGTAGAGGAATGGTCGAAAAAAAACCTATAGGAAGCCACAATTTAAAATCAAAAACTCAATTAACAATCTCTCTCTCTCAAAAAAAAAAAAAATAAAATAAAATAAAATAAAATAAAATTGCGAAAAAATATTAATATTGAAATGACATGTTTTCTCTCCATGCATATTGAAAATACAAATTGCAAAAAACAAAAAACAAAGAAACATTGAAATGGCACGTTATCATCTCTTGTTTTAGTCAAATATCCAGAGTGAGACAAGTTTTAAATGTATCTCATGTCGTTGTCAGAATGGCATTTTTGAATGTTTAAGTAGATATCTCAAATGATTGAAATCTCTCATCAAGTATCTCTACATATATGTTTAGTGAAATATAACTATAAAACAAAAGCGGTTCTAGGGCGKTAGCCACCGTTTCGGTTGGGCCACTTTTAACCGGACCAACATTTGCTATAAACCACAATCCCTTTTCGCATAAACACATAGAATAATTAGGGCTATCCCAGGAAACCAGACCAATTTTTCAAAACGTGGAATACATGTTCTAAAACTGTGTCTACAGCCCAGTGGTCTCTTTTAAAGTCTCAYAAAATCGAGTGCTCGCAGTACAAAGTGATCTTTAGTTAAATTCCGTGGATATGATATAGTTAAAGCTATACTTACCAGCGTCCCAATCAGAACGATCATTTGGTATGGAACACAACGTGTATGCTTATTATATATTCCTATCCATATTTGGTGTGTTCATGGTGACTAGACAGCAGCTATCTAATATGACACCGGAAAGTGAATTGTATTATGTCATAAATAAAGAAAGGATTTATTCACACAGTTTGTTCGATTTATAGTTATCATTTGCTCAGTTTATGATAGCTAAATCGTTATGGGCACAATTTGTACAGGATAGCCATGGTATAAATGGTATTTTTACAATGAAGATATCAATTCTTTGCTCAAGAGATTACCAGGCATTTCATAAAGTTCAAATAAAAAAATGTGATATAATGATACTTCAGATAAAGATATAAATAACAATAAATTTTCCTCGCCTCTCATTGGTGGAGTGTCAACCACGTGACGTGATAGTGCCYTCCGCGGAGGAATACAATAAATGCATATACATGTATTGTCGCTTCTGAGAATATTGTTGTTGAATAATAGAACAGTTTAAATTTCGTACATTACTAGTACTGTGATATAGTTGCCCTTKGGAACTGGGTTTTACTCAAATTTGCGTTCTCGGACAACTATTTGTCTGTTTTCGAAATATCCAGTTTCCACGAGGGCAACTATTGCAGCTTAATGCCCCGAAWTCTACTAGCCTATTGTTTAAGTAGTTCACGAAATCAAACGGAGCTAGTAGTGCATTTTTGTTTCCATATACACCAAATGCGGATCGGGAATTTTGAAAAAGATGATGATGTGATACTGTCCAAATTCTGCCTGAATTTACAATCAAAAGCTTTGAAAAAATTGTGACCTCTAACAAGTTCCAGTATCAGTACATTKTGTGCATCATGGGTAATTTATTAATTTAGCCGAATTCTRCTGTGAAGTAAACTAGAAATTAAAGGCTTTCAGGCTAGTATATAAAAGGGATATGATATGATATATATGACAAAATATTTGATAGATTACGCACTCTGTGGTTGGTAGAGAACCGTGTGTTCTTAAGTTCACTACGCACGGAAGATGTTATGTATTCATTATGCTCACGTCAGTCGTTACGCGCATGCGCGCGGAACCATGCGCTAGAGAGAGAGAACGGCCATGTTTGTCTTGTAAGATTGCTGTAATAAAGTTCTAGTTCACGACCAGAATTCTAGTATTTAACAGAAGATGCCATTTTCCTTGCGTCATAATAGATACACAGAAGACGACAAAAAACGATCAGTCAGCCACTCGACTTCGTCTCCTTTGAATCATTTTTTGTACTTTTTTGACGTTATCTAAGTATCTATTAAAGGTTTTACCACACTAGSAGAGMTCTTGGGTACACTTGAGCTTTAAACATTTTATAACGTCAAAAGTGTGCCAATAAGAGGACATACAAATCAAAACTGTTTTTAAATGAAGTTTGCTTTTATCATTTTCATCTCCTCGAGCGGTGTTTTTAGATTTTAGTGATGGTTTTCTTTTACACACTCACCTTGAWTTCAATGCTGAATTGAATAAATAGTTTTSAAAAATTACAACAAAAACTTACTTTAGCAAAAATTAGCGGTAGTTTAGTTTTGTTCCCTAAATATGATTATATCTTTATTTTAATAGGGGAATATTAATACCTTTTCCGAAATTATAACTAAAGGACTAGCCTATGAATGAGTATGAAAATAGTCTATTTATTGAAAACTGAGAAGGCCATCAGGGATCGCGGAGCGGGAAAATGAAATCCCAAAGACGTCGCAAAAAAGCTTCAATTTTAATTATTCACGCTCAATTTTTACACAATCTTTATAGAATGAAAGTGAAATTTTGCAAGGAGGCTCTTCGCTTCTTTATTTAAGAAAATTCAAAATGACGGAAAATTATTCTGTACCCCCATCCCCCCTGTTCAGCRGTCCCTGACCATTCTACTATTAGTGCTATGTTCAAGTTTGAGCCAATGTAGTTTTACCGAGTAACATTAAAAACAGGTAAACAACCTGTGACGTCATAGGGAAATTGGTAGTCAATATTCTTTCGTTCTCTTACCTCCAGATGATACCATACTTGATACCTCAATTATATTTCTAAACAACACTCTGGAATTCCACRATGGCGGACGAATATATCTAGCACCTCCCGCTGGAGTAAAAATGAAAGAATATCACATCAAATTCAAGCACTCATTAGAGRAGTATCTTAGAAAGGATGTTTTTTTAAATATTGTCAATGTAATTCTCTTCGTTGTTTATACCTTCTATTGCAGGTCAGCAAATCTGGTCGCGTGACTCTAACGGGACTCATCAGTCATCATTTCGGAATTCTTCTCCGAGTATCRCTACTGATACARGCCAACTGTTGTAAACTGAATAGACGAGAACTATTTTGGTGGTAAAGGGTTATTTAATATAATAATGTCTCATGACCCGTTGAATTAGTACCTACACGACATGAATTCATAATGTTTACAGTCCATTAATTAAAGAAAGGATAGAGCGGATTTCGTATGAGTGRGAAACATGGGAAAMGGACGGTACTGTACTGTGACCGTAATCGTACTGTAACCAAATTCTAGTGCCCCATTGGTTCATCAAAATTTTGCAGGCCAGGTCCRGTAACTGTGCGGTAAMCGTGCGGTAACGGTGTCCCACTCATACGAAATCCGCTCTATTGCATCGGCGTGCGGAGTTACGAATTATATCCTCGACTGTTTAATTGATGTATCATGAGTGAACACAGMGATAATTTCAAAGTATTGAAATAGTCTCCWTCACGGTTCCCGGCGCCATCATAATTATCTRTAGGTATGAAAGARGGTTTCTATTATTGTAAGCTCAACGGTCGTCTCGCTTCGATGCAAAGGCACGGCTACCTTTCAAGATGGTGCAGGGAACCGTGAAGAAGACAGACTATTATCAATAACTTGAAAATATCAATTTTTTATCGTTTGAGAAAATCTATATTTTTATTGATTTATGCCGGGTTTTCTATATCTTTATAATATTATAATGAAACGAGAAACGAGAACCACTACGTGGAACGTAATGTGCTCAGTCCAATACACCTTTTYAGTTGCTCTTAGGCCTCGACAGCGTGTTAAATATTCTTYTGAATTTGTAGGAATGTGAGCAATGCAAACATTGATRTGAATAGTCTCATKTGTCAAATTCAAAAGAATAATTAACTTGCYATCGAGGCCTAAGTGCAACTGAAAAGGTGTATTTAGAGGACATGGCGTAACATAGTCAGCACCGTAGCAGTTATCGATATGTGCTATATAATAAGATTTTGTGACTTTCAAGATTTTTTGAATTTTTTTTGTCTTTACAATACTGTTGGAAGCATAGTTAGTGAATAGTTGAAGGTCTTTAAATCCTCTTCTGTTGTATATATTGTTTGTTTATACGTCGAGTGTAATATTTAATTTAGCTCAATTCCAATATAATACTTGCCATTTTACTAAGATTATT